TCAGGCATTTCAGGTAATATTGGTGGTCGTAAACCTTCTTCACATATATCAAAAATCAAATGATGATTGTGAGCTCTATTGTCAAATGGTGGATGGCCTGCAAATATTTCCCACATTAACATTCCAACACTATAGACATCAGATTCTTTTGTATTCTTTACATCAAATCTGCCTCTAAGTAGCTCAGGTGCAACATATGATACAATTCCATAGACTTTATTTAATGATCCTTCATCAACTGGTCCACATAGTCCCAAATCTGTAATATAACAACAACCTCCTTGCAATAATATATTACCACTGTGCAAATCACAATGAATTAAATCTTTTTCATGTATATCATCTAATGCATAACATAAATAATAAAAATTGTAATTCTGTCTTTTAATGTTAAATTTAAATGATTTTTTTGTAAATAACCCCTTAAATTTCCCTCTTGAGCATAAGATAAAACTATTGCATAATTTCCATTATCTGGGAATTTAGTTATACCATGGCAAGGATTAACCATACTTGATTTAACTTTACAATAATTCATTGCCTATTGAATATAAAACCAATTAGTATTATATAAACACAGCAAGTATTGTTTAAATGATAACTACCAACCTCGTCAAAAAAGCCTTTTCCTGGATTACTTGAATCATTTAGACTTTTTAATGCTACTTCTTGCCCTCCAAAATAACTAAATTCCTTTTTATTTTCATCATAATCACCTATTCTTCCTCTTGTCCATTCTGCAGTAAAAATTGAACTAAATCCACCTTCTGTCAACTCTGTTACACCATCAAATTGCTCAAAGGTATCCATTCTAAAATACAAGTTGGAAGAGCTGATTTCATTTGACATTGTTGAATAAAATCATCAATTATGTTATTTCCAGATGTCCAAGTAGTGAAAAGACTCTGTAATTGTAATCTAATGCAACCTTCACAGAACCTATCAGAGTATTTTGTCAATTTACACTTGTTACATTCTTTTGGTTCACCCAATCCATACATTGCATTATCTAATTCAAAATCATAAGTAAACTTTTCCTTACAAATTTCTTTTTCATTTTCAGAAAGCTCCTTGTTTTTTTTGACTAATGAAAAAAAATAATCTTTCATACTTTCTCTATCAAAATTATTAACATTAGTATTATCATGCATTTCAATATAAATTTTAAATACAAATTCCTCTCTTTCTGGTAATAACGATGATAATAATAATTTAAGATATGACATTATAATATAAAGGTAAAGATTTTTTTGGAAAGATTGCCGTGTTGCAGTTCCTTGCTAAATATCGTAATTCTGTTTTCTCCCGACCTGCACAAACATTTTTGTTGCTCAACTTTAGTGAACTGAATTATTGAAATCAAATCAAAAGGTCAAACGTTGTAATAATGTGTCGTCGTTTTTTTTTGTCGAAATGATTTGTCGCACTAATCGATTGGGAGGTGTATTACCTTATAATTATGAGAGGGATATCTTGATTATGTTTGACCTTGACCAGGAAGGCAATTTATTTGATTTTACACAAAATGAATCATGTTGTCATCATAAGAGCCTTATATTCACCAGATCACATAATTGTTAAATATGGTAAATATCTATAATGCTTAATGTTTGTGTACCCCATGATGCATATATTTGATAGATTTTTTTTTTCACATTGCCTACTCAACTATGATAACTGCCCTGTAAAAAATTTACTCCATGATTAGTCTCAGTGTTTTCCGTTATTTAAACTCGGTGTTCTTTCCGTTTATAATAATAAATATTCACATAAAAAATGGAGGTTTCACTGATATTAATATGCATTTAATTAATAAAATGGATAAAATAATTTAATAAAATTTAATTAATTAATAAATTTTCAAGTGGCCTGATAACCATTGAATGTCCATTAACTATTCACTCCATAGGTTGGACATTACGTTGTGTGGATTTATTAAACGTTAACAGCTATTTTTGGTTACTATTGAATAAATAATTACAATTTAAATATTTCCAACTATATAATAATAAAGAAAACTATCAGAATTTAATCCGGTTGATTTTTGAATCAAATCAAATCGAATGAATCTTGATATTGGCTAAATATTTTCTTCCAAATTATTTAAATTGGCATGATAGAGATTGAAACTTTCCTCTTGTCTTTCAGCATCCTTTAACTTTTCATAAACCCTCTTGCGTCAAATGTCTTCCTTTTCCTCTGATTATTTAATAGTGACGATCCCACAATTTTATCACGAATTTAGTATGCCTATGATGAAATCAATTTTTTAGCCAATAAGGCCAAAAGCAAAACTACTACTATTATCGGTTCTATTATTAATTGGATGAACCAATTTGAAAAATTAGATCAGATTAGGAAAATTGACGATATAGCTGATTTCAAGGATTTCAAAGAACAATTGATAAATCATGTTACTAAAATGAAGAAAAATAATGGAACCGATTATACTTCTATTTCGATTAATGCTTGTTTTGCAGCTATCAATAGGCACATTATTGAGAAAGTTTATTCAATAATCTTGATCTTTATCATAACAATAGATGTATATAATACTCGCTTACTCTTAAACCTAGTAAAATGCCTTTCCATTTTTTGGTGATGTCCATGGATGCGATAACATTACCATTGATCTCTTCGTCAGTTAATAAATCAGCACTTTTTTTTTTACCAAGCTCAAGTTCATATACTAAATTTGCCATCAATAATTTGCCATAATATTTTATATAATCTATAAGAAATCACTTCAAAAAAAGATCTGATGGAGGTTATGAAGTTTAAATTTATAAATCAAAAACAAACCAACGAGAATTATCTGGTTGGAAGGTATGGATATTATTATGTGATCATAATGATGTGTTTAATAACAAGTATCTTGTTATTTAAAATTCTTTATTAGGCAAAAATGATTAATATTGCATAATTTGTATTGTAATGTTCAAATGCAAAATTGGATGTAAGCTTTCAAAATTCTATAAATATATTATTTATGAATAAAAATTCAATTCAATATGAGATGTACTTTTTTTTCTCGGGTTGTAGATATATAGATATTTGTGTTGCCTCAAAAATATTTACATATCATTAATAAACAGCAGAAGTTTTTAAATTAGGGTTTTGACGAATTAAGTGTACAAAGGTACTTCCAACGTCATATTGTCTTGAAATGATATAACAAGATAACTGCGTTTAGTATTAAAATGATCGACATAATAATAAGTTAACCAACCAATCAATTTCTTATGTCCCACCATATTTATTTTTTTAAGACGCGTCATATATAATAATCAATTTTTCGATTTTATTTAAAAAAGTAAACACAAGTGCTAAATAATCTAAAAGAAATTTTTATGGTATTTATAAATAATTTTTTCATTTTTTACATAAACATACACGCATATATATATATGTATGTATGTATAATTTTTTTGGATAATACTAATACTATTATTTACTCTTTAAGAGTCGTTTATGTGTTGATTGCTTTGAACAGTACGACTGTCTAATTAATTAAAGGGGAAAAAATCTAATAATTGCAACTAATGCTATCCATCTACACACTTGTAATTAAATTTAAAATTGTAATTAACAGATGGTTTTTCTTTATTTCTATAAATAAAAACAGTTGATTGAAATTCATCTTTTTTAAACCATTATTAATAAACTTCTATAATTAAAAATTTCATGTATCAATAAATATTTTATCTTCGTTATAAGTTTATTTTCCGTAGCACCAATTTAATATTAATATTAAATTTATTTGTTTATTTATTAATAATAATGTATTAGTGGTGTTGGTTGTTTAAATTTTATGTCGCATTTTTATACAAATAATTAATTAATTTCACTTCAAATAATACGAATAAAAAAATAAAGAAGTCGAAATAATGTATGTAATGTACAATAAATAATAATAATCGAATCAATAAAATAAAAATAATCTTTTCGCAATCATCTTGCAATTAAAATTTCAGATGCTTAAAGTTCTCTAAAAAAATAAATTTATATTTAATATAATTACATACAATTGTAACAATTGTTATATCTCACTCTTTTACCTTACCTTAATAGCCCTTCTAGAAGAAACATCCCATTCTTCAATCAATTCGTCTTTATTTTCTTCCAAATAACTCAACAACTCATATATGTTACACCTATCTTCGGGTTTTGCTTTAAGTGCTTTGTAAAGCAATTCTCTTGACTTATCACCTATAACATGTTTCTCAACATGAAACTTGATAATTTTATCACTTGAAACAATTTTTCTGAGTTCCTTCAATTCAGTATCAAGTATTCCTCCCCATGGAATTTTACATGAAAAGATTCTCCATATAAGTACCCCAATGGAAAAAATATCTTCTTTTGTTGGATCTATTGGATTGGGTAGTTCACTTTTATCACTCTTTGAACGAGGAAGCGTTGCAAATGAACTAATTAACAAATAAATATTTGTGTGCGTGAGCGTGTTTCTTGTGTGATTTTATTATAAAATAAAATAACTATAATTCTTTAGCTTATTACTTACCGATATAATTTGTATCCATGATCAGGAGTGGCTCTAATCTTGGGAAGCAATTTGAGTCGTTCCTTTGACACTTCACGTACTGCCCATCTATAGAATAAAAATATTATAAATATGTAAATAAAAAGTAGTTTAAGTACACACACTCGCAAAAAATATAGGAATCGTAATAACAACAATAATAAATAATAATGATATAAAGTAAAACACATACTTTTTAACATCATCTTTACTAGTAAATTCAGCTTTTCCAAAATCAATTACAACAAGATCGTCATTTTCTGTGAACATTAGATTGACTTCACTTAAATCACGATGTGCAAATCCTGAATTATGAATTTCTCCCATTCCAACAACTAAATCATGAATCATCTTATATTTCTGATTACCAGTAATTTTCTTATACGTATCAAAAACATGCTCCTTTAAAGTATTTTTATATCTTTATTTTTTATTTTATTTAAAAAATAGAAATCGTTAATAATAATAATTATTATTATTATTACTTCTATTATTTTTATAAAATTTCACCTGTGCATGGATAAACCAACAATTTCATCATTATCAGGATCCTTGTAAATAGATCGGATTTGTCCTGTATTGGGTGCTTCAAAAGTTTTGCTATTGTTGTTTTATTTGGTGAAATTATTTAACGGGAAAAAATTTTTAAGCAAATAATAATATAATAATAACAATTAATGCCAAAAATATATTAGAAATTGCTTACAGATAACAAATCACTTCTTTTAACCTTGCCTCTAGTGTTTGATTACTTGTATCTTTAAAACTTTGAATTACAAAAGTTTTATCATTTTTTAATTTGTAAACTTTCTTGAAAAAACCTTCTTTGATTTTAATAATATCTTTATCAGGTACATTAAAGCTTTCAATGGGAACGTTACAATTTGCTGCTTCTGTTGGGTTCGTGGATTAATTTTTTGCATTATTGTCATCAATGAAAAATCATCAATGGAAAAAATTATTATTACTTACCAGCTACTAATTTCTCCCATAGAGTTTGTGATTTTGATCGATCCTTTGACTCAAAGACATTAATTTTATTTTCATATTGAACTTTATTATTGTTGTTATTGGCATTTCTTTTTGAAAAGCGCTTTTTATTGGCAATTTTTTCTATTCTAACATTATTATTATTATTATTATTATTATTATTAATTTGCACAGGTGATGTTGTTGTTGCACTTTTATTATTAGAATTTTGGCACATGTTTTTGATATTATTCTTTTTGTCTTCTTTATTCTTTTGTGCAATAGTTTCATGATAATGATGATCAACATCTGTCATTTGTGTAAGTGTTTCACCATAAATAATACCTTCTTGATCATCCAAAGAAGTTTTTGTTATATTTATATTTTTATTATTAATTTGAGATTTGAATTCAAATTTTTGTAAATTACTTTCATTACCATCATCTTTATTTAATAAATTAAGTTCTGACATAAATTTTTGGTGCATTTCAGGTGTCAGCATATCATGAGAATATTCCCTGGCATAAAAAGGATTTCTTGCACTTGCAAGTGTATCATAAAACTTTCTTGTCACTTCAAGATCCAGGTCAACCTTGTACAAATAAACAACTCTAACCCAACATCTGCCATCTTTTAATTCATTAAAAATACACGGGTCCAAGTCATGACATTTGCCAAAAGGTTTAACAACTAAAACCTTACATTTTAACAAGTTGGTTTTAGAGTTCCATATTATATCTTTAAGCAGCAAGAGTATTGCGTTTTTGTCATTGATTAACTCGGCTAATTGCGATTGTTTATTTGTAACATAGACTCTACCAAAATTATGACTGGTAGCTGATTCATCTAATACATATTCTGGTAAATTTTTTCTGTTGAAAACTTCAGAAACTGGTCCATTATATAATGTTATCCTTTCAGCAGCTTTGAAATTCATAATTGATTGTGACTTATTCAATTGATAAAGTTCATAGAATGGCATTATGAAAATTTTACTATTAGATTAAATATTATATAATTAGAATTGGATTTGAGTTTGGACTTGGATTTGAATTTGGATTTGGATTTTTTCTTTAAAAAAAAATCTTCTTATCCTTCTAACAACAATCATTAATTACCTGACAGAGTTTAAATTCACACATGATATTGACTGAAATTCTTCATATGGCGTTTTCATATCAATTATATCCATTCGTGTTTCGATACTTCCATGATTTATAGGATCTAAAATTTCCTTGATGAACTTTTTCATTTCAACAGCTTCCTTGTAAATCACACCAGGTTGGCGATGAAAAATAAATGCATTGAACATAATTTGGAATATATCTTTAAATATATCATCAGGTGATTTATAATTTCCAGACCATAAATTACTTTCAGCAGTTGTAAGATCCATCAATTTGTGAATATATTGATGGTATACATAAGCAGCCTCATTCTCTGGACTAATGAATGGTCGAGCAAAACCTTGTGTCAAAATCTTATCAAAGATGTAAGTTCCTATTTTAAGTAATTGTGCACGAGTAGTTTTTGGAAATTGGTTTTTAATGGAATTGTAGTAATCTAGTAATTCTATTGCTGCAGTTTTATCTGGGTCAGTAGGAACCCATAGGCCATCATCTGTCATGACAGAAAATTCAGAATATTTTACTTCCTCGTCTCTTTTCCTTCTGCCTCTTTTTCGAGTTTGACTATCTGTCATGTATATATTATCAATTGGTTGTTGCTGAGTGGTGGCGGAAAATTCAACATTATTAATCGATTCAGTATTATTATTTATAGATTTTTGCTCTATTTGTGATGATGATTTATTAATATTAAGATCATTAGAGGCGAGGAATTTATGCTCAATTCCTTCCATTAAAGAAATGGCATTATTATCATCAACAATTTGTGATTCATTGATTTGTGGCTTAGTTTTCAAAACTACAATCATTTTCATTTTCGTTTTATTTTTATTTTTACTTTTATTTTTATTTTTATTTTTCTTCTTTGATGATTTTTTAATTGGTGGTGGATTCGTGCTTGAATCATCAAGGTGGACTTTTTTAAAAGCATTAGTTTCTTCAGAGGAATTATTATTTGTTGAGCCAATGTTATTTGGTTGTACGATAGTGGTGGATTCGGCTGGTTTTTCGTCGTCGGAATGTCGTCGTTTTCGAGAATTATTATTCTTTTTTGTTTTAGATGGAGTAAAGTTTTTACCATTCTGTTGTTCTGTTTTATTATTATTATTATTAGCATTTTTTTTATTATTAGTATTAGTAATGACAGCATTTGATTCAACTATATCTTTTTCGACAATCGCAGCAGGAAGTTTTATACGTATTCGTTTTAAAGGTTTTAGTTCTTCGTTATTTTGTTCTTTCTCATGCTTTACTGTAGCATGAATTTCATTGGCTTCTAAATGTTGTTTTTCTGCGACTTTGTCTTCAGACAATTTACGTTTGCGAGATTTCCTTTCTCTTTTATTGCCGTTGTTAACGACAGTGGTTTTTGATGATGTGGTTGTGGTGGTTGTGGCAGTAGTCATAATGTTAACAATTTGCATTGTATCAGGCGAAGGTGTAGTAGTAGGAGGAGGAATTAAATGTTCATTTTTAATATGCATTGAAGAAGTACTTGTTGCTATATCCATAAGCAAAAGATTGATATCTCGATGGAATTATTAGGATTATTGTTATAATTGCTCTGATAATATTTGTGAAAAATTTTTTTTTTAAGAATGAATTTTTTTTTAAAAAAAAATATATATTTTAATTCAAAACCCCGGAAAATGTAATGAACGAATTAAGAGAAATTTCGGAAAATTTTTTTATTGTTCAAAAATTTCCGAAGTTTCCCTCTTTTTTTTGATTAGGATTAGGATTAAGGTTATTTTGCTTAACATTTATATTGTTATTATTCATGAATATCAATTCAATTCAATTAATAAAAAATAAAATAAATCCCTAGTTATTGTTATTGTTATCATCGATGGATGGATGGATGATTCAAAAATTTGTCGAGATTTAAAAAAAACCATTAAATTCCGATTTTTTTGGGTTAGTGATTGATTTCTATTATCTTGGCTTTTTTTTTGTCGAGTCACAAAATGATTATATGATTATGATTACGTATGTACTTTTTTTTTACAAAAAAAAATTTTATTACTAAATAAATAGTCTTTTATTTATTAAAAATTTGTTACCAACCCTTTTGTTTCTGTCTTTTTGTGTCTCTTTAACTAAAAGAATTGGGAAACTAATAATTCTTTCAACGTTTAACTTTTTTTCTTTTTATAAAATATTTGTTTCAAAGATCACGTGTGTTTTACTCTATATATTGGATTTATTTTTATTATTATCTTGTTTACGAAACTTCACAAAAACTTTTTTAAAATTTGAATTGTTGTAATCAACAACAACAACAACAACAACTACTATAATAACACAAATAATGAAAATCAAAAAATCCCCACCAAAGAAACTTGCTGCTCCTGTAAGTATTATGAATTTATTAACTTTAGAGCTTGTTTCAATAGATACAATTGTATAGCTTTATAGTTTTTCCGGAAAAATAAATTCACATTTGATCCTTAAGATATTAGAAGGATATAAAAAAATTTTTCTTTGTAAAATTATATTATTAATAATATGGTATGTTTTATTATATTGTAGATACCATCGATCAAAAATCTTATACAAAAACTTAGCGACTGTCGAGAGGATGAAATACCTGAGATAGTTGAATCAGTAAAAGAGTGGATTCATCCACGAGGAGACCTTTTTCACTGGATTGGTGTTTTAAATCGTTTTGACACTATCCTTGAAAATATTTGTTTAAATAATAAATTAAAAAAATTGCAAACAGCAAATTTTTCAGAACCTAGTCGTAGTATATTGTTAGCAATATTAAAATTTTCACGGTTATTATTAGAAAATTGCACAAACAGAAATCTGTATAGTTCATATGAGGTTTGCTATTATAATATTTATCTGTATTATTTAATGATTTTAATGATATATATCTATTTTTCTATTTTTCTCAAGATTAAAATTAACAAATCAATAATTTTTTTCTTTCTAATCACGATATTATATATATGTGTGTTTGTAGCATCTAAATGATTTGCTATACACAAATGATTTGGAGGTTCTGGAGGTTCTGTTACGTTTGATTCTTCGACCTGCTCAACGTCTTAGCAATCAACGAGCTCTTCGAACCAATTTTAACATTTCACAAGATAGAATTTTAACATTAGCTCATAGCTGGGGCACAAAAGAATATGATATTGAAATGGTTCATCTTGCATCAGATGACGTTATCATTCCAAATGAATTAACAACTTTGAATTATCAATTCTATCGTCATTTAACTCCTTCAGAAGTTGTTGTTGAATCATCACCTACCACCATCACTAGCACTACTGGCACTACTGGCATCACTGGCACCACCAGCACCACCAGCACCACCAGCACAACAAACACAACAACCACCAGCACAACCAACCCTACCACTACTACAACAACACAAAAGAACAAAAGAAAAGATACAGCCACATCTACAAGTTCTGGCGGTAGTAACAGCACATCAAAAACTACTTCTGAAGGCGTTACTCTAATTTGTGTAAATGACATTCATCAATATCCTGGAACAGATATGGACATTTTAAATAGTCTTGTTCAAGAGTATGACATTCCTGAAGAATTTCATTATGCTCTTTTGAATCGAATTAGAATTGTCACCAGTATTACTTCAAAAGAATCTCGTCGTAGATTTTTAATAATAAGAATTCTTGCTATCGCAATCATGGGTATTTTAGCATTTATTTATTAACGAATCAATTAGTCAATTTATATTAATCAACCAACTTGTATTAATAATTTATATATTTATAGCTCATGTTATTCAAGAACATGTTGCTCAATCAAAAATATTTTTATATGAACCGGACATTGTGGCCAATCTTTCAGAATTAGTACATCCTGATCGTAAAGTTCCTTTTGTAAGTGTCATTGAGAAAATATATTTTTATTTTTATTAATTCATTTTGGTTGTTGGCTAATAATCAAGGGGTTTTTTGGGGGAAAAAGGATGTTCAAACAGTTGCATTTTATGCATTAGATGGAATTAGCCATTATCGTTCTAAACTTCAAGAAGTTTTGACGGCAATTAACGCTTCTGCTAATCATGGAATACTTTTATATGTTTTAAGAAAAATTATCGCTGATTTAGATTCTGAACACCGTTAGTAATTCATTTTCTGTTTTCATTTTTATTTTTCAATCCTTAATTCGATAAATAATTATTGTTATTGTTACATTAGCAATATATCCTCAAGATTATTGCGATTCCGTGTTTGCTCTAATAACTCATATAATCTCCACGCAAATTGGTGGTAACATGGTAATATCAGCCGGAATAATTCCTACACTTTTACAATTATTAAACAATAAAAAACATCAACAATTAAAAGTAAGAATAAAAAATTATTATTTTCGCATTTTTTATTTTTATTATTGGAAAAGATTTACAACAACAACAACAACAACAATAATAATAATAATAATAATAATTAAATTTTAATAGAATGTTACAAAGGCTGTTGGTCTTTTGGATAGCCTGGTTTATAGTTTCAACCAACCCTCTTTTACTTCGTTTTGTAATGCTAATGGAGTTCGAGTGTTGGTTCAAAGAATTAAGGTTTATTATTATTATAATTACTTGTTTTTTATTTATTAGCCGAGTGTGCTGGTTGATTTATTTATTTATTTGTATATTGATTATAATTTGGAAAACCTTTAGGACGAAGTTGATTTTGGATTTCAATCAGTTAAAGATACCCAAAGTGATCATATGGAAGATGTTACCGTAACAAGCAGTAATCATAGCAGTTCTATTGCTTCAACATCAAAAAGTATATTTCTTCTCATTCATCATTTGATAAGCCATTTTCCTTTACAATTATGAATACCAATATAACATATTATCATCATTATAGGCATTGAACCCACTAGTGTTCAATCAGCAAATGCTGAAACCGAGGTAGTAGCGCTTCCTTACGAAAGATCTTCTTTGATAAAGTCGATGTTTAAATTTGTTTATCATATGATGCAATCTTCTGGAAACGCTGACGGGTTAAGAAATCTTATTGACACTACTCTACCGGAATCTCTGAAAAAAGTTTTTGAACAACCAAGTATTTTTGGAAGTAGCATCTACGCCCACGGTAATTTACCTTTTTGATGTTTCTTTTTCTTTTTCTTTCCTTTTTTTTTGATTTTTCTAACTTTACTTTTTTGGGAAATAAATATATATTTAAAAGCAATAAACTTGATCGCCACATTCATTCACAATGAGCCAACTTCCTTGCCAATCATGCAGGAATCTAAATTACCACAAACATTCTTAAAATCAATTATTAATGATATACCTGCTTCTGTTGATGTAAGCCGTGATTTTCTTTAAATTTTTATTATTAATATTTTAAATAATAACAATAATAATAATAATAATAATAATAATAATGACAATAATAATGTTCGCTTGTTTTTAGGTTATTCAGTCTATTCCTAATGCTTTTGGTGCTATATGTTTGAACTTACAAGGAATGGAAATCTTTAATCAAATGAATCCAATTGATAAATTTTTCTCGATATTTACTTCCATTGAACATTTACGTGCTCTTCAAGATGGTGATCTCGCTTCTGTCTTGGGTACTAATATTGATGAGTTGATGCGACATCATCCAAGTTTAAAACCAATCATTATGGATGCTATAATGACCACATTAAAACGTATATATGAACTCGGTCAAAGTGATCAATTTGTGACGGCTAATGAAGACACCTGTAGTTTACATGTGGGAGTATCAGATGATGATTCTTCCATTAATATTGGTTCAGAAAACCTTGCCGCTGACTCTTTTACATCTCAAGATGCTATTATGACTGATGTTATCGAATCACAAAAATCCGAAGAAAAGAAAGAAAATATAGTGGTTTCCTTTATCGAGATCATGGCAAGAGTATGTACTTTAATCATTATATATAAATATTTTTATTATAATTTATATACATGATTATTAATTTAATCAATATGGAATTTAATTATTTTAAAAAGTTCTTGGAAGGTCTTTTCCAAAATCAAAGTCATTGTAAGGAATTCCTAAAACAAGATGAAGGCTTGAACATATTACTTAAATATTACTCATTACCAACAGTACCTTACGATTTTGCAAGTTCACAAGCATCTTATTCTCTTTCTCACCTAATGAGAGTAATAACAGATGTTGAACCAAGACGTAGTGTTGCTGCAATTATCAGTGTTCTAAATGACACACTTCAAGATGCTTCGCCTTTTTTGAATTACGAAGAAAAATCTGGTTTGTTCATTAAATATATTGATTTAAAAGGTATGGTTTCTATCTATTCATCTATTTTATACCTATATAAATATTGTAATTGTACTTGATAAATAAATAATCATTTATATATAAATATATAGTTAACGATACAGCCAAAATAGAAGCTGCCAATAAAACATTCAGAACTTTGATCACTTTACATGGTTATGTTGGATTACTTTCAGATGTATATTGTTCTACAGTCTTCTCTCATGGAAAAAGCGTGTCATCATCATTGATCGAAGCTTTTGTTGGTAACGACAACGAAATATTATCATCACTTGGAAAATTACACAGGTAACCGTTTATAATATTACTTGCTACGTATTAAATATATAAATAATTATATAATTATATGATTTATTTCATCTAAATGATACATAGAACTTGTGTCTGGGAAAATGTTGTATTAAAATCTACAATTCCAAAATCATGGTATAATTTGCAACCTAAAAGCAAAAAATCACCTCTTTTATCTCCATCTACAACCTCAATATTTGATGATATTGATAGTAGTAATAAAGATCCAACAACAACAAATGCCACTACTTCCGACTTACCAAATGAACCTCCTGTTGATCATAATAATCGCCAAGTTAAAAATTCAAAATTTTTAAAATTTTTAATATCACAAATACCTTCTTGTCTTACTCCTTTATTTCAAGGTAATATATATACACTTTAAAAATTTTAATAAATTAAAATTATTTCTTCGTGATCGAAATTGATAATTGTTGTTTTATTAGGGTTGGCCAAAATGCTTTTTACCCGTAAATCTCCTGATTCTAATCAAAGAAAACAAGCATCAAAAGTTTCTGATTCTATTGCTAGTGTTCTTCATGATCATTTAAATTGGAAACGTTATGGTAATAATAATACCGATTTTTCAAAAAACATTTTGTTTACAAAAAAATTTAATACAGTATGATCATATAATAACTTGCAACTCTTTTTACAGAAATAGATAGTGAAACGGATTCATCGAATAAATATAATTATCTCACAGCAATGCTTGGATTATTATCATTATTATTTTCAGATGGTATATACTTATCATTTTTTCTCTCAACGCTCTCACACAATTAATAATAACTAATAATAATAAACTAATATTTGTATGTTTATTAGAACGAAATCAAGTTTCATTACAAACTATGTTGGTTGTTTCTTTTGAAAAAGTTGGTGGTTTAGATCATGTTATTTATTTATTGCAACGCTTTTGGGAGGAATCAGATGTATTCAAAGAATCAGAAGAATGTTTAAAATCAGATGACAAGTCAAAAGAAAAACTCGGAAGAATTCATGAATGTATTAAAATTATACTTAATTTTTTCCAATTTGTTGCCTCAGCTAAATCATTACACGAATCATCTCAGACTGCAATTATGACGGCAAAGGAAAAAGATCCTCGTTTTGATAAATTTGATCCATATAGTTTCCTCGTTAAAATTCGATCAAAAATTTTACCTGCGATCAATGAACTTTGGCAAAGCTCATATTTATTAAAAGCTCCTCCAAATCTTGTTAAGTTGGTAATTCAAAATTTAGTCCAAATTTTGAAAGCAGACGGCGAAGTAAATCAACGTCCTGAAGGATCTGGTTCAGGCTCAGGCACTTCATCTTTATCATCAGCAACACCCTTAATATTTGGGCATAGAAACACAATTCCAGACGAGGATAGAGTACAACAACTTCTTGATATGGGTTTTCCTCGTTCTGCTGCTGAAGCTGCTTTGTCACGTTGTAATAATCATGTTCCAACTGCTGCCGAATTCTTACTCACCCATCCTCAAACAATAGCTGCAGCCATTTCACTTGAAGCTTCCCGACAACAAGAAAATGAATCATCTAATCGAGAATCTGCTGCAATCACTGGTACCACTACTACAAACAATAATTTAACTGAAAACACAGAAACAGAATCTGGTTTGACCACTGGTACTAGTGCTAGCTCTAATCTGAATGTTGATATATTTGGAACACCCGGTGACGAAGGTGAAGATGAAGAGGATGATGCATCTGATCTTGATGAAGAGACTAGTTCAGTTGATCATTCAGCTTTATCACAAGGTCTTTCATTGCCAACACAATCTGCTAATTTAGCTGTTGAAGCAAGTTCAAGCAGTAATAATGATACTAGTGTCCCTATGGAAACAGAAACAACCTCTGATGCCGCAGCTACCACCAAAAAAACTGATAAGGGCAAAGGAAAAGAAACTGAAACTTCGACATTAGATCAATTTAAACAATTACGTGAAAAACTTAAATCTAATGGACAATTACGTGCTATTGAACTATTGGATCAAGTCGAAGACATTATTTTTGAAATTAAAGACTTATTTGTACTTTTTAGTAAGGATGATCTAGATCAAACCATCGCATTTATAATAGAGTGCATCCAATCTGCTATGAAACAACAGCCAGATAATGGTGATGACGAATCAAAAAAGAAGGAGTCTGCTGTTTTGAGCTCAAGATTAAGACTTTTAGCACTTTTAATGAATGAAACAACTATTCAAAGCAATGTATCAATAATAATATTTGATAGTTTAGTGACTGACTTGTTTGATAGGATATCTGATATTTCTCTTTCAAAGACGAAACCAGAATTACCTAAATGGCTAACCCCAGCTTTATTGATCGTCGAATCTCTAATATCTTTGTCAGATGAACCTAAATCGGTTGGTCCATTAAAAACCGCCAAATCACCTGAAGATCCTATAAATTTTGAAGATACAGGAATAAATACTATGGTACCAAATGAAATAGAAAGATTAAATCTTCTTGGTTACTGTTTAGGACTAGTAAGACGGGGAGATGATCTTGATAAAGATCTTATTAATGCATTACTTCGTATTTTTGTTCGCCTTACTCGTCAACATGGTGTTGCTTTGGAGTTTATGAGAAAAGATGGTTTAGCATATTTGTTTGAGATTTTCAAAAAAAGAGCACATGACTTCCGTGGACAACAAATTTTCTTGGCAATGTTAATGAGACATGTAATCGAAGACGAATCAGTAATAGAAAATATAATGGAGAGGGAAATCAAAAATTGGTTTACAAATCCACGTCCAAGAACTGTCGATGTTAATGCATACCTTAAAAATACGCCGCAATATGCCTTACGTAATCATGATATATTTGTAAAGGTAACCAAAAAAATATGCAAGTTGAATAGATATGATCCTAATGGAAGGACTCATCAAATCACGCTGATAAAACAAGGCGGTGTTGAGGAATCAACAGCAACAACAATACCAACAACAACCCCAACAACAACACCAACAGCAGCAGCATCCACATCAGCAGCAACAACAGAAGCATCAGCAACAGCAACAACAACAACTAATAACGACACACCATCTAATGCCACCACAAATCAAGATACTACTATTACTACTGCTGCCACCACAACACATGCAAATGAAGAAGAGATGATTACAGACGTACAAGCATCAACATCTGTTCCAATTCAATCATCACCAAAAAAAACTATATATGATTTAGATGAAACTGAAAGCCTAATTCAGTTTATCTCACACGAGTTACTATCAATTGGTAATATTTCTTCTACTGTTGACAATAATAGCATTAATAACAATAGCAATACCAATAACAATGTCAATGGCAACCAACCAGTCTTTAAACCTGAAGAACATCAAGATTATTTATCTAGATGTTTCTTGTTACAATGTTTAACTGAATTACTTTCGTCATATCCTTCATGTAAAATGGAAGTAGTTAATCTTTCTAGACGTAGAAATAGTGTAAATGTTTATAATAATAACAATAATACAAAATCGAAACCATTCTTATTAAATCACCTTTTGAATGAATTCTTGCCCTATGGCTGCATCACACCTTCAACTGATATTGAAATGCGTAAAAGATATGGTCAATCCAAGTGGACTACTTACACATTGGTAGCTTTATGTTCTAGCATCAATAATAATAACAACAATAATAATGAAGCAGATAATAAAAAACTTGTACAACAACAATTACATGATTTAATTCAAGTTAGGAAATTTGTTTTGGATACAATTATTCGTTCATTTAAAAGTGCAATTGCTTCAACTGATCCAATTGAAGCAAAATACGGTAGATTGTTAGCTTTGGCCGAGTTATGTTATGCATTATTAACAGCTCGCGCAAGTCCAAACAGTGCAAACAAACCAAATGAGGATAATCCAGCCAGTATAGCTAGAATTATGTTGGATAAAAATTTTGTCAATATTTTAACCGATGCACTTGCAGAGATAGATCTTAACTATCCTTCAGCTAGAATACTTATCAACGCTTTGTTAAAACCGTTTGAATTTCTTACAAAAGTAGCAATTAAATTAGGAAGATCACCTGATTCTACAGATAGTAGTAACAAAGATAATAGCGATGAACAAGAAAGCATTTCATCGATTTCCACACCACCTTCAGTTGAAGAAATGCATCCGGAAACAGAAGATGCTCCTGACTTGTATGCAAACTCGGTACTTGGTGCTCTTGAGGGTAGAATAGAAAGCGATGATGATGATGTTGACACTTCGGGTGAAGAACAAGCATTCGAAGAAGATTTTGAAGAAGAAAGTGGCAGTGATATTAGCGATATTAGTGATGTAGATGAAGGTGACGATGATGATAACGATGATGAGGGAATGGATGTTGAGATTGTTGTTCGCCAACCAATACGCGGACATGCAGCAATTTTAGAAAATGAAGTTAATGATCAAAGATCTGATGACGATGATGGACAAAATTCTATTAACCAACACCTAGAAAATGATGATGATACAGACGAGGAACACAACCACCACCACCACCACCATCATCATGATGATAGAGATGGAGATGAGGATCAAGAAATGTGGGATGTTCACGATCAAGTTATGATTGAACCCGGTGATATCAGAGAAGAGGCTATTATTAATGATGACGTTGAAGGCCATATTCATCGCCATCGTCACCGTGAACGATTTGGTGGAGACGACGATGTTGGAGATCGTGATTTAATGATAGTAGACGAGGACGATGAAGAAGATGATGAAGATGACGAAGAAGATGATGAAGAAGATGCTGATGATGTCGAAGAAAACGATGTTGCGTTGGATCATCCAGGTGCTTTGGTAGATAGTTTTGAAGAAGAACGTCTAAATTTCACCAATTGGGGCTTCAATCAACCTAGTGCTCTTTTCATGAATGATGACGAGTTTTCTATACCAAATCGTGCTGGACGTGCTTTATTTAGTTTTGGCAACAGACGACATCGACATTTGGCTGGTCGTAGAACTATATTAGAAGTTCCATCAGAAAGCTTTAACTATGTATTTGAAGATTCAGACGGCTATACATTTAACATTGGTGGAAATGATGAAGTTGATATTCCAGGATTGAATAGAACTAGACCTATTACTAGCTCAAACGATGATATAATTACACATCCATTACTCGTCAATAGAGCCCCAACTACACCTTCAGTTGCCGGAATTGAACTATCTAGAGGTAGAAGTATTAGAAATGGACCATTAGGTGACTGGACACATTCAATCGAAGAATTAATTGGCGGTGGAGCAGTTCAATTATTAGAACAATTATTAACAAGAGGGCGCGATCTTAATCGACCTACTTATAGACTTGAATTGAATCCTGGCTCAAGCGGGTTGGTTAGTGGAATTGAGGTAGATCGTGTTTTCCAAAGAGTATCTTCAAATGCTCAAGATAATCAAAATAGCACACCTCCAAGTGATCCTATTGCTGCAGTTCAAGAATTTATGCCTTTACAAACTGGTAATAGGTGGTATGAAGAGGCTCGTATGATGTATGGCAGTATGGTGACCGATAAAGCAACCAAATTAGCTAATCGTGTTTTGAATGAATTAATCCCACAAGCAATAGAAGATGAAAAAAAAAATAGAGAAAAAATAGAAAACGATAAAAAAATTCGTTTAGAAGAAATTAGAAAAGCAGAGGAAGAAGAGCAAAGAAGAATAGAAGCTGAAGCTGAATTGGAAAGAGAAAGAGCCGAATCAGCCGCAGCAAATACTCAATCCACATCGACAAATGAACAGCAAGAAATAACTCAAACTACTACTGATGAAGAAAATAATAACAATGAAGAAAATAACAACAATGATGAAATAGTTGACGCCATGCAAGAAGATGTAACACAACAGGTAGAGGATTCTAGTGCTATGGAGGAAGAAGAGGAGGAGGAGGAAGAGGAGGAAGAAGAGGAAGTTAGTCAGGATACCGTAATGGAAGAAGATGAACCAGTTACTGCTTCAACTATTGTTGCATCCTCCACATCAACTCAAGTAGGTGGCGAAAGTTCTGCTCAAGGTTCAACTGAAACCCCGCAAGAACAACAGCAACCACCTGCTACAAGAACTACAGTAATAATCAATGGTCAACCTGTTGATATTACTGATACTGGTATTGATCCCACTTTCCTTGAAGCATTGCCGGAAGATTTAAGAGAAGAAATTATAAATCAACATTTACCTCAAAGACGTACAAATACTACTGTAACTGGAACCGGTGAAATTAGTTCTGAATTCCTTGCTGCATTACCTGATGATTTAAGGGAGGAACTTTTACAGCAAGAAGAAGCAATAGGACAACAAGAAAGAAGAGATAGGCAAAGAACCACAGAGCCTGCTGCAGTTGAAATGGATACTGCAAGTTTCTTTGCATCTTTAGATCCTCACCTGAGGCAAACAGTTTTACTTGAGCAAGATGACATGGTTTTAGCATCATTGCCTCCAGCGATTGCTGCAGAAGCCAATGCATTACGTGAAAGAGCAAGTCGTAGATACACAAATGCAGTTAGATCAAGAACACTTACTAGTTCTGTTCCACAAATACAAACACCTAAAAAACCTGCAGTTCAACGTGATGCAGTTAAACTTGTTGACACTCAAGGATTATCTACATTAGTCAGATTATTATTCTTGCCACAACCATTAAATAATAAAAATTTACTACATAAATTATTGCTTAATCTTTGCGAAAATAGCAACTCACGTGGCGAATTGGTATCAATGTTACTATCTGTTCTATTTGACGGAAGCGGCGATGTAGCATCTGTTGATAAAAGTTTTGCTCAAATGTCTATAAAAAACAAAGGATCAACATCAACGAAAGGTTTAACTAGGAGACATTCAGGGGTACCTAATCCTTCACTTTCTCAGATAACTCAAGCAGCAGGAGAAAATGTTCCCAATTTAATAGCTCAACGTTGTTTAGAAGCTTTGACTTTTATTGTTAGTTATAACGAAGCATCTGTCACGTATTTCTTAATGGAACATGAAAACAATATTGGGCTTAAAAGAACGAATAGTCGTAAGGGAAAAGAAAAACAAAAATCTGTCACAAGCAAATATCCTGTAGTAATATTACTTAGCCTTTTGGATAGACAAGTATTCATAAGAAATACATCTTTAATGGAACAATTAATGACTCTACTTTCATTTGTCTTACGACCTTTATCATCAATTGCAAAAAATAATCAACCCAATACCACCACCACAAATACATCCAACACTACCAATAACAATAACACAACTAATGCAACCACTTCAACGGCTGTAAATACTACAACTACTTCAACGGCTGTAAATACTACAACTACTTCAACCAACACACCCAACCTCGATTTAATTGATATAACTACATCAACCACACCACAATCTTCACCACCACTAGCACAAAATAATAACGAGAACACTTCGTCAGATCAAAATGTGGAAGTTCCTGAAAATGATAAACCAGCCACTGCATCTTCATCTAAACCACCAGAAACCGAACAACAACCTAAACTTAAACCACCAGTAATTCCTGAATATTGTTTACGATCAGTGGTGAATGTAATGACAGTAGGTGAATGCACAGGCAATACATTCAAATGTACATTAACAGTTATTCAATACCTTTCAACTTTAAAAGGAGCAAGAGAAATTATCACTTCCGAGTTGGTTGATCGTGCACAATCTTTGGGCAATGAAATACATTGTGACCTTGACGAGTTAGCACAGATATTACACAAAGCAGATACAGGTGTTGATGTTCAAGGTGTAACTCTAGCCAAGTTTTCGCCTTCATCATCAAAACAAGCAAAATTGCTACGCGTACTCAAAACTATAGACTACATGTATAGTAGTGGGCAACAACAACAGACAAATGCTCAATCAAACACACAGGTGGTAGTTGCACCAACTGTTGACCCAGAAGATGCAGATTTAGCTCAACCGAGAACATTAGAAGGAAGCTTGAGAACTAGTAAATTGGCTCCAGATGAAGAAAAAGTAATGAAAATTTATGAAAGTCTTAGTTTTGCCGATCTTTGGAACAAGCTTGGAAAATGTTTATTAACAATACATGAAAAACAAGACATGATACATGTGGCAACTGTACTCTTACCTCTTATCGAATCATTGATGGTTGTTTGTAAATATGTTGGTATGACACCACCAAGTGGACATAGGAGTAATGCATCCGAAAACATGGAAAACCTGTTCTTTTCTTTCACAGAGGAACACCGTAAGATTCTTAATACGATGGTCAGAAACAACCCTTCGCTAATGAGTGGATCGTTTTCGTTGCTTGTCAATAATCCAAAGATACTTGAATTTGATAACAAAAGGAATTATTTCAATCAACAACTTCACAAACGAACAAATGGCAGAGAGCATTATGGAACCTTACAACTTAATGTTCGAAGACAATATGTGTTTGAAGACTCGTTCCAAAATTTACAAAGGAGAACTGGGGATGAAATTAAATATGGAAAACTTAGTGTACGATTTTATGAGGAAGAAGGTGTAGATGCCGGCGGTGTTACAAGAGAATGGTTCCAAGTTCTTGCTAGACAAATGTTTAATGAAGATTATGCGTTATTCAAAACTTCAGCAGCTGACAGACTTACATATCAACCGAATAGAGCTTCAGGTGCTAATCCAGAACATTTATTATTCTTTAAATTCGTAGGACGTGTAATTGGCAAAGCTATTTATGATGGTAGACTTTTAGACGCATATTTCACAAGATCATTTTATAAACATATTCTCGGAAAAGCTGTTGATTATCGGGATGTAGAGGCAATAGATTTAGGATATTATAATAGTTTGGTATGGATGTTAAATAACGATATTACAAATGTTGTCGATTTGACATTCAGTGTAGAAGTAGATGACTTTGGACAAAAGAAAATCATTGATTTGAAAACTAATGGTAGAAATATTACAGTAACAGAAGAGAACAAGAGAGAATATGTTAAACTTGTAACTGAACAGAGACTCACATTAGCAATTAAAGATCAAATTGAAAGTTTCCTTTCAGGCTTCCACGAAATCATTCCCGCAAATCTAATAAAAATATTTAATGAACAAGAACTTGAATTATTAATTTCTGGTCTACCAGATATTGATATTGATGATTGGAAGAATAATACAGAATATCAAAACTATACAGCATCATCACCACAAATTCAATGGTTCTGGAGAGTTGTACGGAGCTTTAGTCAAGAAGAACGAGCCAAATTACTTCAATTTGTCACGGGTACTTCCAAAGTCCCATTAGAAGGATTTTCTGCCCTTCAAGGAGTTCACGGTGTACAAAAATTCCAAATACATAAAGACTTTACTAAAACTAATCGATTACCTTCTGCTCATACATGGTAAATAAATTTTTCATTATGGTTTTATTATGGTTTATTAAATAATGGTTATTAATTAAAATTCATTTAAAATTATATATAGTTTCAATCAATTGGATATTCCTGAATATGAAAGTTATGAACAATTAAGACAAAATCTTTTATTAGCAACATCAGAAGGAACGACAGGATTTGGTTTCCAATAATAAAAACATAATATTTCCTTGGAGTTGGGGGTGGTGAATTATTTATAAACTTTTAAAAAAATATATATACATTTTAAATATATAATTGTTAATAGCAAATTGGTTTTATTTAATATTATATTATTAGTTTAGAACTTTTTAATATACATTAATTTTATTAATTTTACATTTCATATTATAAATTTTTTTTATTTGCAATTTATTTTTTCCATTTTTTTTACTTTTTTATTCGTATTGTAAATTTTAAAAAAAAAAAAAAATATACAAAAAAAAAATAAAGTAATTATTTTTTAAACTTTGTTTGCCTTTATATATATATATATATTTGTTAATTAATTTTTATTGTTGACTTAATAATGAATACATGTTTTGTTTGACTTTATATATATTGTTAATCAACTTTTATTGTTGATTTTGATTCTTTATAGTGAACACGTATACATACTTGATGGTTGATTGCCTTTCCTGCGTTTTGAATGTAATTAAAATTTAATTTCACCTTTGCATTTGTGTTTCATCGTGAAAAGAAGGAAGTTTTCTAGCCAATTCATATTCATTTCTATAATAAAAGTAGTATAAATTAACAATAACAATAACAATAACAATAAAAATGTAAATTTTTACCAAAACAAAAATTATGTAAATAAATGGATAGATAATATGTATTTTGTATAGTAGCTATCTTACGTTTCTTCATCGTCAGGCGCACGTCTTCGTACAGCTTGTCGTTCTCTTTCTGCTTGAGTATATTGATGTGAATTGATCGAATCTCTTGCAGAATAAATAGGTTCATATTCCTATAAATTAAATTAAATGATAAATATAAAATTACAATATCAATAATATTATTCATGTATACTTTTGTTCACTCATTTTAAGAGTCAATCAATGCGTGTGTATTTTTATACCTTTAATTGTACTTTGAAACCCTCATTAGGATTCATACAAAATCTTCTATTTTGAACAAAACCATATGCATGCTGATAATCCATTTTAGTTGTTTCCATAACATATGCTACTACAAACGCTGGACTTCTTGAAATTCCACCATTACAATGAACAAACACTTTGCCATTATTTAAAAGGGCGTTATCAATGAATGCTTTTGCTTGTGGAAAATGTGGTATCAATCGTTCGTTTGGAGAATCGGAGACTTCTATTTCAAAGTATTTAAAATGTTCAGGAAACCTTGGACGTAACAACGTTTTTTCTGATGAATCCCTAATGGAGACAATATGTGTTATGGTATTTTGTTGAAGCATTTGAAGATCTTTTGAACAGGAATACGGTCCTAAAAATAGACCTGGAAGTATTTCTTGCATCTGACGTCGCATTTCATATCTACAAAAAATATATATATTTATATATATATTCAGGTTTTAATAAATTATTTGATCAATAAATAAAGAGTAACATATGTCAATAGATATACTTTATAAAAATTTGATAAATGCCTTTGAATTAATAATACATATACATATATATATATAAATATAATTTTTGTCAGATAACGAACGGTCTGAAAGCACTTACTTCCAATCCAGAACAACCTGATTGTTTGTAACTATTTCTTGGAAATTTTGTGCGAGTGAACTTTTTGCCGTAGAAGAAGTATCAATTATCATATTATCTTCCATTTCTATGTTTTTTTAAAAAACAAACCTGTAGTTGCAATATTTATTTCCTAGTTTTCCTGTTGTCCTACATAAAAACGTGATCTCTAAAATTATCAAAAGCTTTTGATGCAATATTGAAAAATTGAGAAAGTTAGTATTGTTACTTTACTGCTGGGGCACAAACGAATGGTTCTACGTTTGTATGAGCCTACAGCATTGTGGTTGTATACATCCGGCAGGACCTGCTGGTCTTCCTGTGCACACGATACAACGCTTCAGTAATTCGGCTTTTGAAGTAATAATTCTAAACACTGACAACAACACCATTTTCTTATTCTTTGGAGGTCTCAAATTCAAAAAATATTATTCGAGTGCGTATGTATTAGTAAGCTGTAAATGCAGTCAACACTCTTTAAGCAACATGCATTTAGAGAGGACGTGCATCTATGAGGGTTGGCTGTATATGTATGTGCATATATATGTAGGTAAACATTCTACCAACATCGTTCCATATGTGTGAAAAAGTTAAATTTAATTAATGAAAATGGAAATTATATATTACAGTGTATTTAAAGTATTATTGTTATTATTATTATTATTATTATTATTATTACTTTTTGACATGATTAAAAAAATAAATAAATAAATAAAATGAATAAACAATTTATTCAAGATCCAAGACTTTATGTCTTTCTTCCAAAAATCTGAATAAACTACCTGGTTTCTTTTCCCATTGATTATGCCAATGATATGCAAATGTTTGTAATAATCTATCTTTGTTAAACCCATCATTCTCTTCAAAAGCACTTGGCATGCTATTACTAGGACGACAAACGTGCGAATCAGTGAAACACCACGGAATGATTTTAAATGGTTGTTTACCATTTTGAATCAATCTTCTATAAATTTTTAAATACAAATAAGATCCCCAATTAAATGAATTCTTTCCTGGTTGTGGTCCATTGTGTATTTCTGACAGCATTTCACATACATACGGTGAATTTTTACGAAATCTCATAAATGCCCCGTTAAATGGAAATCCATCAGGTATAAAACAATCCCATTGTCCAACCCATTCGTGTTCTACTAACGGTGAAAAATCCCTTATGAAAAGTGAATCCATATCAAACCACACACCTCCATACTTGTACAAAACTAACAATCTGACCAAGTCTCCATCCAAATATGCTAGATCATCTTTAATATTTATGTATTGTGAATTTTCAATCGGGGTACCGCTACTTTCTTTCTCTACCTCGTACAACCTTGTACTAAACCTATCAGGGTATTTTTCAAAAAATGGTTCAAGTCCTTTATCATTTGATAGATTTCCATTTGACCAAAGGATCAATGAAGAATAATTATTATCTTGTGTGGCAAAGAAAGATCTCAAAGTGGCAATTTGTTTTTCGCCTATTTCTTTTAAATCTATTCTCCAGTACGAATGAAATACCACATGTTCTCTGGGTTGTCCCGGTAGTAATCTGATCCTATTAGCAAAATCGTAACAATCCCATGCTTCAGTTAACGGTGTTGGTGGAACTATTTCATTATAAACTATCTTTGGACCATCGTAAATTTTCTTTTGATCATTTTCTGAAACGTCTTTTGAAAAACAACCATAACTAGACAATGCTTCACGTCCAAATTCCTCGTTAGTTATCCAGTCTTTCAAATATATTCTTATATTTAATGTCACGTTATACGTTAAAAAGAAGATTATTGTTGATAAAATCAACAGTATAAATAATAATTTAAATAAAAATTTTGTTTTTTTGGAAATTATAAACCATGAAGAATTTAATCTAGTATAACGTATAGTCATATCCTCTATATAATATTTAGATATATTTTTTTTTGTAGAAAAAAGAAAAATTTTTTTTTCTTTTTTATGCTGTCATACAAACAAGAGTATATTAATATTAATAGTGCAACTTTATTGGTCGTGTAGATCCTTCAAATCCTCCAAAGTGGAAATGCAACGTCCCAAAAATAAATCATGTTTTTGAAGCCAAGACCTTTCTCTACAAAGTTACGATTTCATTTCATTGATATGTTGTGGAGGATTTGAGCTTCAAAAGTTGCACTAGTTTACCGATTTACTATGTTTAGCCCTAAAATTGACATGTTACACATAAAAAAGTTATCAAAAAATAAAAAATAGACAACAAAAATTAGATTTTTTTCCTTATGTTGGAGATCTTTTATCACAGATGAGAATTCCATATGTTTTGCGCATTTTTTTGATCAATCCAATAGTAATACTCTATTTATTTGAAATAAATGGATTTAGCTGTTTGTTGTATTTTTTTATACATATAAAGAATAAATTTCATTTCATTTCTATTGTTAAATGTCATTTTTAAATCAACTAGTAACAAATGGTATATATATATTATTAATATATTAATTTATTATTGTCAATTTTACTATTTATGAAATGACCAGGAAATATGACTAAACAATTTTTATTTGCCTCAAAATTGGCGACGTGGCGCAGAAATTCGTGGCTTGCACCATCCAGACACACACATGTTAGTATTGGTATAATCTTTTTGTCAAGATTGATAATAACAATGTATATTAAAATAACATGTCGAGAACAATTGAAATTTTAGTTTTTTTAAAATGTTTTTTATTCACAAAAATTATTATTGTCACATGAACTCAATCAACTAATATTCATAAACAATATTATAGTTACATTCCGATTATTCTATTTTATCAATCAAAAGAAAAAAAATGATACAAATTATAAAAAATCTATTATTACAAAATAAACATGGAATTAAAAAATATTCCTTTTTTAAGCTGCTGGAACTTTTAAAACTTTGTTTGGAGTTCCTCTAAGAGTAGCTTTGTCGACTACATTCTTTGTTGATAAATCGGAAAGTTTCTTTGCCATTGCGGCGGGAGTTGTATTACCATCTTTAGCAATGATTAAAGCAACAGTGCCAACAACATGTGGAGTTGCTTGTGAAGTTCCAGAGAAAACAACAAACTTATTTTTGGTGTTAGCACCAACAGATTTAATGTTACGTCCTGGAGCAATGATATCTGTACATTTTCCAACATTTGAGAAGTCGGTAAGTTTATCTTGTGTATCTTCAAGAGCTGCAACGGTCACAGCTTCAAGAGTGGAGGCAGGTGATGTGTTACAAGCATCTTGAGATTCATTACCAGCAGCTACCACTACGTGAATACCAGCTTTAACTAATGATTGAACAACCTTATTAAGAGCATCGGATTTACCACCTCCTAATGACATGTTGACTACTGAATTTTTGTTTTTATTTTTTTTGTGTTGATCAAGAACAAAATTTAAACCGGCGATGACACCAGTGTTTGAACCGCTACCATCGGCATCAAGTACTTTAACGGCAATAAGAGAGACTTTTCTAGCGACACCAACGGTTTTTCCACCGACTATACCAGAAACATGACTGCCGTGACCATTATCATCATTATCGGTATCACAACCTCTACCATCACAGAATTTACCACCTATTTTAGCACGTTTTTCGAATTCAACATGTTTGATATCAATACCAGTATCTACAATGAAAGCGTTTACACCTTGACCAGCAGTATCGGGGAAAGTGAAGGATCCATCTCCTGGGAATTTAGATTGATCAATACGATCCAAATTTGGGAGGTTGGTTTTTACTACTGTTCTTTTGAAAAGGTTGTTTGAAGGAATAACATAACTTGTGGTTACAACAGAATCTTCTTCGACAGTTTCGACATCGTCACGATTACTAAGTTCCTTTTTGACGAATTCAGGTGCGAAGTTGCCAGAGTAGCCTTGAACAGAATCCAAAGAGAATTTAAGGACTGTATCTTTTGCTTTACTTTTGGTGGAGTATTTATCAATCGAGTCTGTTTTTATATTCCAGCAATTCTTTAACCATACGTCATGTTTTTTAACAGCGTTGATGCCAACTTCTGCGGTTTTTAAGACAACAATGTATCTTTTTGTTGAAGAAGTAGAATAATTGGTAGTTTTAACTGATGATTTGCATTGTGTTGTGCCGTCATCTGCAGATTCAACTGAAGAAGCCAAGAAGATTGCAGCCAACACGGACAAGGATAAAAGGGTAGGTAAACGAGTAAATTTAACCATTTTGAATTTTTTTTTTTCAAAGAGTTAAAAGGATTAATATGGAAGTGGGAAAAAAGTTGGAAATAGACAATTTTTATTTAAATTGTATGTAGTGTTATATGTATGTATGTATTATTCTGTGGTAATTAAAATTATCTCTCAGAGATATTGAAATTATGTTTTTTGTTAATTGCTATTTCCAACCTCCGGGGTTAGTGAAATTTTATTGGGGATGGTAGGAAAGAAAGAAAGGTTGTTTTTATTTTTTTGTTGTCGAAAGGATAATATTTTTTATTTTTTAGTTGATCGAGTTGAGAAAACAATTTTCTGAAAAATGGTCGTCTATTATATAGAAAATTTTGATATAAAAATAATAAGGGAATTCAGGTTTTTTTTTACGTACACAACATAAATTAAGCAACAAATAAATTCAAAACCGTAAACAATCCTTCTTTGCTAAATAAAGCGAAACCTTTTTGTTGTTATTAGAGATAGCCAAAAACAAACGATAATGCTCTATATTGTCATCTTTGTATATATTTTAAATTAATTAGTTCTTTATTTCCAAATTGGTAACGCTCTAAAAATTTTTTGTTCGCTTTTTCGGTTTAAAAACCAATAATTATTATGTTGGGTAACAAACATCGCTTCAGATCTACATCTCTTACTTAAATGGGAATTTAAATAATTAAAATGGGTGTCTATCAATTAGGGTTTTCAAACGTTTAGCTAAATTAATTGTAGTACAGTTATTTGTTATTGTTTTATTTCTATTCTGGAAAGAAAAAAAAGAGTAGCAAAAGAAGCAATCTCGATTGCGAGAAACAATATTGACTCCCTAATTACTAATACTAATATTAATATTAATTGTTGTGCTCAAAATTTGCAATTTCACAATATCAAAATATCAAAATTGGCACAATACCAAAATTTTAAATCTCACACAATAAATAGTAATAGTTTTATCATGTAATACATTCGATTTTTCGCTATAAGAAATGGAATTGTTGTTCTTCGACGATCTCCAAGTATTAAAAATGGAACTGCGTTCAGTCAAATTAATAAGGAAATGTGACGTTAATTTGATGATTGGTTGGCTCCAAAATGCAATTAATTGACAATTTTGTCTATGAATCTCGACCCACCCGCCAGTAAATTTAATATTAACATTATTGTTATTATCATTATTATCATTATTATTATTCTAATATTAGTTTTCGAAGGAGCTCTTCCTCGGGGGTTCGAACGAATTCAAAGTTTCAGAATTTAAGTTCAAGTTTAAAGTTTTAAAACAATACCAGAAATAATTCAATTACGAATAATTCTTACTAATTAAAAAAGTTAAACATGCATATTAAACATAATAGATGATGTTTCAAAATAAAAATATTTTATTTATAGTACTACAAAGTCGTTAATTAGACATTTTTCTCTGCCGATCCTTATTCTAAAGTTTAATTAACTAATAATACCATTTTGGTGTTTTTTGCTGTTAAAGGAACAAAGAAGACATTAGTATTAGTAATATCAATGAAATGATAATGAATTAGTATAAAATATTTTCAATCAATCTACTTTATATATTATTTGAAACAAAATAAAGATGCTTTTTTTTGTTATTTATATAATTTTGTCTTTGTATATCGATTGTATCATTATGTGATACATTTGATGTTATTGTTTTTAAATTTATAAAACGTAGACAAATAATTGCATCGTTCAAGTAACAAGATCATGGGGATATGGAATTTTAAAATTTCTTCCGCTCTGTTTTACATAGGAAAGCGCAAGCAAGGAAATAAAGATGTGGCCAAATTAGTCATATTAGAAGGCATCACTCGAAAGCCTCGTGTGTTGGCTTGTGAGGAGCTTTGTAATAGGCATTAGTGTGTCTGGTTATTAATAAATAATATATTAATATCTTTTTCAGAACTATACTAAATAATACTTAATAATAATAATAATACCTTTGTCTCCAATATTGTATAATTGCTTAGAAACTATATAATAAATCTGATGTAAATCAACGGGTGTCAGATTTATAAAATATTCCTCTACTATAAACGTACGGTTGGATTTTAACCCGCCCCATAACCAAGATAAGACACCTTAATGTCCTCGAACTGTGCAACTTTTTTTACACAGGCGAAGGTCCACGATAATGTTCTCGGGCTGCGGGGGCTTTTTTACACAGGTGAAGGATCAAGATAAGATGCTTGTCTCGGACTATGTAACTTTTTTTACACAGGTAGAGGTCTCCACATATTTGGAGGCTTTGTACAAGTGAAAGATTCCAATAGCTTCCACAAAGGTTGCTTTAATGTTGCATTTATCTTCTCTTCAGCCCAGGTGCCGCAAGGGAAGACTAGAATCCACTTGACAATTATGCAGCCAATAAATCACAGAACCACATTCCCCCCTGGGATTTAGATTATTGTTTCGTCGGGGTCGATAGGTCAGATTAGCCTTTGTGCGTATTAGGAGGAAAATGGGAATAAATAACGCCTGTAAATTTCCTCTGCTCCTTTATTCTCCAAAGGAAGCACGGCAAGGAAATACACGTAAACAAATATTGAGATGGAAAATCTGCTCTTGGTTTCGTCATGACTTGTTGTTGTTTTGCCTTTATAATTATTATTTATTTAATATTTATTATTATACCAATAATTTATGAAAAAGAATCTTATGGATGTGAGCGAGCATAATAATTACCTATATAATATAGCACATTTTGATTTCAAATCTCCAGCACGTGCTGGCTTGTGGGAAGTTGTAATTACATTTATAAGATACGACGATATTTAGGCTATTTATAAAGAAAAAGAAGAATATTGGCTTGTTTGCACAAAAAAATTATCTCGCGCAACAACTCCAAAAGAGCAAAAATAATAAATATTAGTTCAAAATTAGCAAGATCTGAGTAAGTATCATTAAGATCTTGGTTAGTTAGAAAAGATCATTTAACATTTATGACAAAGGATCTTATGGAAATAAATTTTTAAAATAATTAAAAATTGTTCTATTTGAAATCAAAACGTGGAGTGGGTGATGATGAATATCTTCTACATTATATACAGTTGATTAATTATGTCACTCCAAAAAATAGCAAGATCCGAGTAAGTATCATTAAGAGAACTAGCTAGAGCAAGAGAAAAAAGCACTGCTTGTAATGATGTTAGAAAAGATCATTTAAATATCAAGCAAGATTAATTAATAAAATTTATTTTTTTTATTTCATGCAGAGTATACACTAAAAATTCAAGCAGCATTACCTCCGAATTATGCATATGCACCCGGTGTGGAAAATTGTACTGGAACAACATTAGACTAACAAAGTAAATGTGTTGTATGTCGAACGCATATTTTAAAATTTTATTTTTAAATTAAATTGGTTGTTTATTAATTAAAATTTATTATTTGTTTGACCCCAATTAACTTTTACCATTATTGTGAAATAAAGTTATATAATACACTATTTCCATTCCTTTGTTTTATTTAAAAAATGGAGCATTGATCGACAGAATACATATTGGTTTTAAATGAAATGGCCGAGAAAGTGTCATTAGAAAGAGAGAGAGAGGTATAACAATGGTTAAAACAAACTTATTATTAAATTTCACCAATGGATGATATGTATTAATTAACTATATGAAAATTTAATCAGTCATATGACAATTCTCCCAAATTAAATTATAATTTGAAGATCTTCAGGTCAAGTGTTAGGTATTAAATAAAATACAAACAACGCATTGTTTAATTATTTGGGGAATTAGTGGTATGAAAAGTTAATGTGAATAGTGATTACATGACATTAATCAGTTGGATATTTTATAAAGATTTGTAAAGTGGTAGGTGAATAAGAAGTATGGAGTACTAGTTTGAAAGCGTTCATGTTATTAAAATTGTTTACTTTTTAACTTAACAAAATATCATGAATTTTCAGAAACATTAAAATTAATAAAACATTAATATCAATCTGTAGCTCTTTGGCTTTGGCGAATTTAGAGCTCAAGCAAATAAAAAAATCAAATTCTGACTAAAAAATTTATTATGGTTAATTCATAATCACTAAACATCTAGTTTGTACTAGAAGTATGGTTTCAATACATCTATTTGTCAAAACTCAAGCTACAAACCGATATAAATACATGTTTGTGTAATTAACACGAGTGGAATGATATCTGATTGAGTATCATGCCAATTGGCGTTCAATAGCTTTAGGTCCAATTAGCAGCACCAAAATGGTTATTAGTTAAATTGTTATTAATTAGATTTATAGAATCCAATTTGTGTTAATTCTTTTTTTTAACATCGTATTGATGTATTGAATACTTTTCTACTATATATAATTTAAACAGATATGACATCTGTATTGCTATAATTTAAACAGATAAGTATCGGGATATCCATATTCATATCTGGATCCAAGCTCTCTACAAACAAGTCTCAAGTTTTTTTTATGATTGATAAAAATTTCCTTTCAACAAATAATAATGACATTCGTTTTTTGCAACAATTTCCTTTGTCAAAACAGTCTCTGGCATCTCTGCTTGACTGGGATCTAGGGACGTTAAATGGTTGAGTCGGTTTAAAACCATGCTAATTGACGATCCTTTAGTAAAAGAAATGGCTATTAACTTTGTGATACAACCACACGATATCATGTGCTTTATCCTTTCTCTATGAAAACTTTTCAGCATATTCAAAGGTCAAAAAATAGTATATTTTATTTTATCGTAAATATTTTATCGGATAAAAGTATTTTTAAAATAGTAAATCCAATGTTTTCTTCTGCCCTTTTTTCCCAGCCTGTATAAATTCTAGTTATTCAATTAGCAATGGTAGAAACCCTTCTTCGAGCTCACCTTGTTCTACGCGTTCTAAAAGTTCTTTGTGCATATTTTTAGCTGCCATTTTTGGTTTGAATTTATTGTTACACTATTTCTAGCAAGCTTTTACTCTTTTAAAGAAAAATTTTTATTATTACAAGTATCAACCTTTTAGACTGACTCAATTCCAAATTTTCTTCACCATCATATAGTTTGCATTTATTGTGTGTGTATTTAGCTATTTTGAAATAGACATTTTATTTTAAAAAATTATAAAAATAATAATATTCTAATATATAATTGTTTTTTTTTCTTGGTTGCGCAACAAGATCATAATTCTTAATATGATGATAATAAAACAACATAATATAATGTTTTCTGTTTTGTCGCGTAACAAGATTGTTCACCATCGGATCAATTGTTTAATCCTAATCCTCATAAAAATTAACTAATGTTAATAATTCTTAATATGACAATAATGATATTCTATTCTGTCGCGTGACAAGATAGCTCGCCATCAGATAATCATTTAACTCAAATCTTTTTTTCTTTGGAACAAAAAAATAAAAGCTAATTAATATATAATTCTTAACATGATAATAATATTTTTCCTTTTGTTGCATACATTGTTTACCACATGTAGTAGGTGGTCCAGTTTCACAAATATAACAGGGAGATCAGAGCTTTCTTTATTTCCATCTACTATTTCAACGTAAACATCATGTCCAACATGAATGATATAAGTATACAGTTTCACCTGCACGCTATCTGAATTCCTTATGACTTTTTTTTCGCAACCATTGGCTTATCCAATTATTATTTTGTAGACTAATCCGAGAAAACGTGCAAAAGACCAACTTGTTTCCAAAGGCATCAAAAAAGTCAGTATGAAAGCATAAATGTTATTAGCCCACAAAGATGTTTTCTCACCTTTTTATATTACACAGATTAAAACGATCCAGAGTCCATCCACGTCTGAAACTGGTAGTGACGAATCACAAGATAGTATACACGATATAAACAGAAGTATGAAGAGTGATGCAGAAATAGATTCAGAAATCTGGTCACTGATGCTGGGCAAACAACCAGCAAATAATCTGAATCATCCGTCGAAGAAACTACTACAAAAAAAGTGGAAAATGTAGACAGTTTTTCAAATAATCGATTACAACTAGGCAAGTTCGTGAAAGTTAATTGATTAATGTTTAGGCAGTCAAAGACGATGCTTTTGTGGGAACACGTTGTTGATAAGATAAAAATTTCTATTAATTCAGGTCACGATATAAGTATTGAAATATTATAACTTCATCATGTATAGTAAATGTTCGTTAACCATTATTTTTACCTATAGTGGTTGGCGAACGGCTATAGTATTTCTAAGGATTTTCGTGATTTTCGTATGATCTTGTCATGCAAAGTTGATCGATTTCTTCAATGTTTTAACTTTTGTACATTATTGCAAGTGTCTTCATCAATCATTTATGTAAAAGAGGATAAACCAAAGTATGTAAAATGTTCCAATCAAGACTCTAACCCCAACATATTTGCCAATAAGTGCTCAACTGAATATCATGGAATATAGTACGGTAAGACCCTCATGGAACATTATGATAAATAATAAATGATCAATAATTTATTTCTATCTGTTATTTAGCTTAAATAATAAAGAGAGGTTGGATGTAAAATGGCATCAAAATTGATCCTTCGATGACCAAAGAAGAAAGGATCATGTTTGACTTCGTTCAACTCGTAACAAGGTTTTAAATCCAAAGAATTCATATTATTTTTGTTGTATTTGTATTATTATATTAATGATATAGTTTCTTAAACTTACCATCAGACAGCACTAAAAATGTTATGGACGAGGATACTTTTGTCCACAAATATTATCATTTGATGTTTGAGGAAGTATTTAGCATGAGTCATCTTAAGTTCGTGTGGTAAATGAAATTTCAATTAGCACAAAATATTCAATATACACGAATACTTAATTTCTAATTGATGAAATCAGGGCCAACGGTGAACCTAATAGTTCGAAGGAACGACGAAAATCTAATGACCACAAACATGGAAGGAAACCGGCCCATTGAAGGGCTCTAGATCAAAGTAGCGTCTTCACCTAAACAAAATGCAGTTAGTTAATTAAACAAGCCACCTGGACAACATAAATCAAATTCTACATATTCACAACGACAATTTAAAAATAAAAAATTAATAATTATTATATTTTATTAATATTATTACAAGATGTTTTTTAAAATTCTATATTTCAATTTGATAAAAAATCTAAATTAAAAAAAAGTACAAATTTTTATTCCAATCAACCGATAACAATGTAACGGGCACAAATTTGTGCATTTTCTCTATATATAAAGAAATAAAAAAAATTTAATATTTTATCTTTAAAATATAATTATATTTGTATCATATATATACCTCAAATAGTCTTGGTGATATTGTTGTTGGTGATAGTCTTGGTCTTGGTGATCTCTATAAATACAAGTAAAAAAAATTTTTTAAATAAAACATTATGTCTAATATTAATATTTCATTTTATACTTACATGCTTCCTATATGATGTGGCAGTATTGTAGTCGATTTGCTTTCTCTTTGCAGGATTAGCAAACTGAGTGGTCCATTGAGAACTGATGGACTTTGGACTGGTCCATTTCCATTAATAAAATACTAAATATGGTTAAAGTATTAAGTTAATGGACCTAATAGACCATCAATAGGCCGCAGATTTGCCAACCCTGCCTCTTTCTAAGGTTGTAATTATTCTGTAAGATTTTTAAAAAATTAATGCATAGGTTGACAAAAGGTAAGATAAATAAAATCAAAGATTGTTAAACACTTACTCCTTCCACAACATAATATTAAAAATTACAATCAATCAATTGATAAACTAACCAAAAAATATAATACCAATCTAATATTTCTCCTATTTCTGGCAGTGATTGGTTTATAAATATAAGTGTGTGTGGTGTAAGGTTTATCATTATCGATCCTTTGTGAATCAAATTCTGATATTTCTTCTGGTGCATTACCAATATCGTTGGCATTATTGAAATTAAAGTTATTAATTTCATTACCAATATTTGATTCGTCAAGTTCATCATCAATTTCCTCATATCTAATGAAAATTTTTGTAAATTTTTCAATGAGGATTTTAGTGATTCTTACTATAATATCCCTCGCAAACGATGATATGATGTCATTCTATCAAAAAAAAAATTTTTTCAAATTTATTTAAGAAAATAATTAAAGAACAATGTATCAAAAGAGTATGATTTACTTACATTTTCATTCGACAAGTGGTAACAATCGCAACCACCGTCATCATTCTTTTAAATAAACTAGAATGACAACGAGTGACAATAACCACCATTTTTATGATGGACACTTACTCACGTCCAGCTCTTCTGTAACAAGAAAAAATTCTAATCAATAAAATATAATATTATTTTGGATTTTTGTAAGTGTTCACTCGCAATATTTGTTAATTGATTGATTACCTTCCAGACATTTTATTATTGTTGTTAGTTTTGTTGTAGTTTGCGCGTATGAAGGGAATATTATTATTATTATTATTTAGTGTATATATGAAGAAAAGGACACTGGTATTTATATAAGATTTATTATAAATAAATGATTTGTCATTGATATTCAATTCACGTGTTGATTGATAAAAAAAAAGAATAACAAATGATATCATTTTTTTTTTTATCAATCATGTGAATTGAATATCAATATATAGCTGGACAAAAGTTTTTGATCACGTGTTTACACTAATTAGTAAAAAACATTCATAACAATATCACACAAAATTTATAACATAATTACACTCACTGAACAAAAGTATCCGGACACCTGTTTTTACTAATTATACAAAAACGCGCATAATAACTACACATAAAATTTTATCAAAATGCAGCTTAGGTTTTGGTGAATATGCATGTAAATTTTGATACTCTTAAAACGTCTAGAAAATTTTTAATTAAAAAAATCCGAAACTCGACGAAAATGATGATCAACAAAATATAAATAAAAAAAAATGAAATAAAACTTAATAATAATATTAATATCGAGTTGGCCATTCATCACTAGAAATGCATGTCTCAATCCTTCTAGGCATGTTTTCTATTAATTTGTAGCAAGTTTCATATGGAGTTCGTTGACTACACTTCTTGTAAAGCAAGCTTCCAACTCGTTGGCATTTTTTGGGTATTGTGTTCACTTATCTAATCGCCTCCCTAGTTCACTCCAAAGATGTTCAATTGGATTAAGATTTGAGGATTGCAAGGGTCAATTAGGTACCTTCATGAAGGCACAAAAATTTTCCTCTTCGTTTTTTTACATTTTTACGTTTTTAAGATTAAAAAAAAGTTTGTCAATCTTGATTTTTATAAATCCGATTTTAATTATATACCAATTTTTTTAATTTTATTATTAATTATCTATGCTAGCCAAAATTACGAAATTTTGTATTCATATTCTAGTTAATCTAAGCTATAAATCGATATAAATTATATAAAATTTTATTTTTATTATTATGTAGAATTTTGGGTAAATTTGAGAAACAAAATTTGATATCGCGACTTTCGTCGATTTTCGGATTATTTTAATTAAAATTTTTCTAGACGTTTTGAGAGTATCAAATTTACATGCATATTTACCAAAACCTAAGCCGCATTTTGATAAGATTTTATGTGTAGTTATTATGTGCGTTTTTGTATAATTAGTAAAAATAGGTGTCCGGATACTTTTGTCCAGGGAGTGTATATATTCGAAATTTCACGTTGTCAGCTTCCAAGTATCAAGATCAATAAAAAAAAACTAAAATTCAAATAAAAAATTTAAACATTTTGCTATATTTTCATGTTTTTTAAAAACTCACATAATAAAAAATTGTAAATTTTATATAAATTAGGAATATTGTTTTGAAGAATAAATATATGAAATTTCGTATTTCTATCATGTCTAGAACATTAGTGATTAAAAATAATAGTAATAACTAGAGATGTGCCACGCACAGTGCAGTGTGCGCGCATAGTTCTCATGTTGTACTACATAGCATGCATGTACAAGTTTCTCCATATTAATACATAGAAAATATTGTATAAATATATATTGTTTTAGTTGTAAAGACTTTTTCCTGAGGTTTTTTCCTTAATATACATATAGTTATATTTTTAATTCAATAAGTATAACATTCTTGAAATTATGATATTATTTTTAATATCAA